AAAAAAAAGCACAACCTGAGGAGAAGAGAAAAATAAATAAATAGTAAAAATAATAGTCAAACTAGGTGACAAAGATCATTGCTGTTTTATGTTAAAACTTAAACAGTAGTGACCACCATTTACTTCACGCAAATTCGGTTCATAAAATGAAATTTATGGTGGTAAATCTTCTGTTTGGGATGTAAGGAGATATTGGAAAAGGAGGTATTTGAAGGTTGACAGTGAAGAGGCATGACGGATGTTATGTGGCAAAGAATTCCAGTAGGAGACGGAACGGGCTAAGAAGGAACGTTCATAGGTTTTTGTCCTGTGGAATAATATTTATCACCTATTTCATAAATAATTTTCTCGACTTTACACTTTTAAGAGTTTTACAGTACTTAGCGCTGGTTACAAGAGTATCCATCTAGCCTGCAATGCCTATGAGAGATTTAGAGCCAAGCAGATGAGGGAAACTACGTTATACATTTTAACGGTCGTGCCCTCTCCTTCCCTCCCCCCAGCTCATTGGATACTCAGTGCTCCTTAGAAGTTTACCCATATTACTCAATAGCCAGAGAAATATAAAAAATAAAATAAACATAAAATCTTGCATAAACCAGAAACACATTTCTTGAGAATACTGAAACCTATTCCTAACTTATAATATCTTTCTTTAACTTAATTAAACAGCTAATATGGGTAAGATAAGACGACATTATACGCGAATTCTATCCACTCCTCAATAGAGGACAGAGAGGCGACGTGTGGATATGGATCATTAGAGAGCTATGATAGACTATGATGCTATCATCGAGGACTTGACCTGTCCGCGTGGTAATTACCTCGCAGCGGTCGCTGGTAATCTCAGAGCGGCCTGCCTTTATTATAAGGCACTCTAACCTGGAGGCGGCTTCGATTGAGTCATCCTCTCTCCAGATAGGAGGTGGGAGGTGGGAGGTGGGAGGTGGGAGGTGGGAGGTGAGTCCACTCCTGAGGATATCCATCTCTGCATTATGGGATATCCTGCCACGATATTATTATTCGTATGAACAACATTAATATTCAATAAAAAAACAAAAAATAAAAAAAATTCAAGATAACCGATAAGGAAAGACAAAACACCTCGAACTATGCATAGTTATAATTAAACATAATTTTCTATTATAAGAGTAAAATTTTGTATGTATTAAGTAATATTATTATTATAATACAGGGTATAGTTCGATAGTTCTGACAATTGTAGGATTCGATATTATCGATAAGGAAGATTATTAATATTTAGATTTAAAGAGATGGGATGAGGGGAGGAGTAGTGTTGCACAAAATCGATCTTGGTCTTGCAAAGACCAATACCTCCCATCAAGACCAAGACTGGTAAAAAGAATCGATTTTTTGAATAAAAATTGAGGCAAAATAGTTACTAATACTTGACAATTTTAGTCACTATATGTAAAGAATTTTGAACAGGTAGATAAATTTAGGTATCTAGGTTCTACGATAACTAGAAAAAACGAAATTGAAGAAGAGATTAAGGTTAGACTGAAGGCGGGGAATGCTTGTTATTTTTCTGTGACAAAACTACTTAGTTCGCGCCTCTTGTCCCGAAACTTAAAAATTAGAATCTATAAAACAATTATCTTGCCTACAGTTCTTTATGGATGCGAAACTTGGCCGCTTACATTAAGGGATGAGCAGCGTCTTAAGGTTTTTGAAAATAAAGTATTGCGTAGAATATTCGGACCGAAGAAGGATGAGTTAACCGGAGAGTTCAGACGGTTACACAACGCCGAATTGCGTGAGCTGTATCCGAGTGATATAATTGAGGTAATTTCATCGCGACGAACCAAATGGGCTTGTAAAGTTGTTGGGCTTAGTGACGAGAGAATTCCTAAAAGGTTAATATTTGCTGTGCCGAATGGTAAGCGTCCGAGGGGTAGACCGAAGCGAAGGTGGGAAGATTGCATTAAAGCCGATCTGAAGGGGCTGGGTTTGGACGGCGAACGGTGGAGGGAGGTGTGTAATAAGCGATTGGTGGTGTCGGCATCGAACCTTCGGGTTCGATAAGCCTTATTATTATTATTATTATTATATGTAAAGAATTGGTGTAATCAATATACTTTTGCATTTAACTCTTCTAATTTTTCATAAAGACTTAGCTAGGTTTCTCATATCTAAACTATTACAGTGATATGTCTCTAGTAATTAGCTAATCTTCTATCAAGCGGTATAATGGTGACTGCAAGACTGTTATGAGAGTCTTGCGCAAGACCAAGACCACCACTGAGTTTGCAAGACCAAGACACGTCTCGATTTGGACAACACTAGGGAGGCGGGAGTTATGGAAGATTTACATGCCTATTACAGAGGAATTTCCAAAGTTAAAAATATATATATATATATATATATATATATATATATATATATATATATACACTATATATACACAATAAAATATCTTAGAAACTAAAAATCGGACCTGCATACAGTAAGCGAGGAAATTGTTCAGCATTTCATCCTCTCTGTGATAGGAGGCGAATAGGAAAAATAGTGTCGAAAACCAAATTATAAAGAGTTTTGTGAAAGAATAGAATTAAAATATTTCTATATTAAAAATCGGACTTGTATACTGTAAATGAGGGAAATGTTCAGCATTTCATCTTCTTTGTAATGAGCTATTATTTATAATTTATATTTCATATTATTAATCTCTCTTTGTTGATGTTTTCAAAAGCACTCACCTTAATTTTTTTTAAATATATTTTTAAGAATGACCCATTAGTAGTGATGTACATATTACAAACTGTAGCTTCATCGTGATTTGACAATTTATGGATATTATTAAGTCAATTTATAAATAAATTCAATCTTTATACTATTTGAGATGGAATTGGTCGGGGGCTGCAGTCAAATAAATACTAATTTTTTTTTTAAAATAGTATTTTTAATTACGCCGAAGTTTTGACCCACACTGCAGGTCTTCTTCAGGGCGTGGTATCTGGTACTGTAGGAAGCAGTTGATAGACTGTCAAAATACTATTTTGACTATTAATAATTTTTTTTTTTATTTAGTATTTATTTGACCGCACTCTTCCCCCCTCCCCCTCCCAGACCAATTTCTTCTCATATTATATCACGGTCTCTACATCTTTATATTATTTGATTCATTTATTTCGATTTAACGACTACACTAACTGATACATAAACATTAACTATTGCTCCTATTACAATAAAATAATGTTTAAATTATTTAAATATAATAATAGATGTGTTATAGTTATTATTATAGTTTTTCCGATTCGACGTAGGTTGAAGTTGAATCCTTGATGTTTAACATTTAGCGGTCCCGGGGACTCCTTAGAGGGTTTTATGCCCCGTTTTACGAAGCCATTACCATTTAAAGGCCAGTTGTTAAAATGTATTGTTCTGGCTCTCTTTATCCACCTTTATGCTTTCCTCTACATCATCAGTTACGGCTCACCTTTTATAAGCTATATAACAATTTATTAACTCCCTTTAATTACCTTTATTTATTACAAAAAATCAGGAATATTCTAGGATGACTAAGGCCACAGATGACATCAGATTTATTAATAAATACCAATTCATTGTTTGTTTAGAGCATCCATTCAATCATACATTAGTCCTAGGTTAACTAAAATATATTTATAAATTTTATATTATACTACCTGTTATACCCATTGTTGACGGGTGTATAGTTTTTTCATTTTTTTTATTTTTTTTTATTAAAGAAATGTACAACTATATTAAATAATAAATACAACAAGTAAATATGAACAAGTAACATGACATGTACAACATGAAGAGAAACTACCCACTGATAACACTCAAATAATAAATTTACACAAGATCACGAGGCCATCTTCTTTTCTTACGCCTCGGAGGGTTATCAGGAATCGAGGAGGAAGCAAAGTTTGAAACGAGAGGATTCGGATGGTTCTGGAGTTTGCTATGGAAGGATAGGTATCTGGATTGGGCTAAATCGGAAACATATGGAACATTAAGGTCATTATGGATGATTTTATTTGTGACAAAGTAGGGAGCATTAAGGATTTTACAAAGGATTTTGGTTTGTAGGGATTGGATACGAGAGGAATTCGATGGTTTAGCGGAGCCCCAAAGCTCGATCACGTAAGTCCAAATAGGTCTTATGATAGTAATATATATGAGTTTAGAGCGTTTGTCTATATTTGGGTGGATGAGATATTTAAATTCATTTTGAGGTGAAATCCTGTCCTACAGTTTCCTTTAGCAATACTCTACTTATCCCTGTTGAGCAAATCCGATACCTTGGACTCCACTTGGACAAACGACTAACTTGGAATCCTCATACCAGACTGAAACGACAAGAAACCGCTCGACGTTTCCGATTACTTCAGCACTTACTAGACAAACGCTCTAAACTTCCCATGAATTACAAACGACTCATATACATGGCTATAATGAGACATATTTGGACGTATGGAGTTGAGCTATGGGGCTACACTAAACCATCCAATTCGTTTTGTAACCAATCCTTACAATCCAAAATCCTCAATGCTCCTTACTTTGTTACAAATAAAACCATCCATAATGATCTTAATGTTTCAGATCTGGCCCAAACCAGATACCTATCCTTCCATAATAAACTTCAGAACCATCCCAACCCTCTTCTACTTTAATTCCTGATAACCCTCCGAGGCGTCTGATAAGAAGATGGCCCCGTGATCTAGTGTAGACAAATCATTAGAGTGCTACCATTGGGTAGTTTCTCAACAAGTGTTTTCATGTCATTATATCCATATGTTCAAATTTACTAGATGTATTTATTTAATATAGTTGTAAATATCATTAAGAAATAATAAAAAAAAATGTTTTGAGGAGAAAAAAATCTGACTGACCAAAAGGTAAATTTATCTATTCCAAATTTTTTTTTAAATATATTTTTTTAATATATATCTATAATTATTATATATTATACAATTGTATGGCTGACAATATGTTTGCTTGCTGCGCCGCAGGTCAGGCCGTGGGCTGGATGGGGCAGCAGGCCAGCAGTGGCTACTACAGCTCCAGCGGTGCGGCCCCGGGGTACAGTCCCGAGGGGTACCAAGCACAGTGTGCACAGGCCTGGAGGCCGCAGGTCAAGACCGCAGACCCCTGGCCCGACACATATAGGTAAGTCTACAATATATATATATATATATATATATATATATATATATATATATATATATATATATATATTTGTTTGTTTATTTATTTATTTATTTATCGCAATCGCCATCCTCTCCAGTCCGGACCAAAGCCGATAACCTAGTGGGTTCAGATCAGGGCTTCCTGAGGGCCAATCCGAGGCAGAGTTCTGGAATGTTCTTTTACAGCCAGTGCTGAGTTTACCTGCCCTTGCGAGCTGGAGCGGATTCCTGATGGAAAACCCAATGACTTCCAGCAAACAGAGTTTAAAAGCTCGACAAAAAGTTCCAAAATATCGCCATGATATTTTTAGTGGCTGTTTTGTAACTCATTTTACACAAAAATAGAGCTTTGTGGTTCCATCAAAGCAAACCTCCACTGAGGAAGGGTGATGACCTCTTTCCACTCTTCCAATGACTTCCTGGGCTTCTTTAGAGCTGTGTGTGTACACAAGATCATTTTGGCGATTAAATTTTTCTTCAATTGTAAACATTTTCTCATCACTGAAAAAAATCTTTTGATGAAGACCATTGATATATCGGCCAAGGATCTATCCACTTTAACTTTTTTTTTTTAGGGAAGTGGTTAGACTTTGTCCTGTCATCCTTCGAAATGCAACCATCCTAAGGCCAGTTTTTACAATGCGAGACATTGATCTGGCAGAGATTCCTATTTCCAGAGACATGATTTGTTGTTTTCGAATGGGATTTCTTCAGATGAGCAGCCACTGCTCTCATTGCATTTGCCGTTCTCACAGTGCGGGGACGGCCCGGTCGAGGTCTGTCACATACAGATAGAGTCTCATTATATCTATTTATAATGCGGTACAACAACATACGGCTGATACCCAAAGTTATATTTTATTCCTGCCGATGTTTTGGTCTAAGTTTGACCTCCAATTTTTATTTACTTCTAAAGATTTTATTATTAGTTGATTATTTTTTACTTTCACTTAGCTATATGTGTGTGTGTAAATTTTCGAGTCTGATTTTTCATCGGATATACATGTTTTGAAGTCCCCAGATTCCAAATAACCAAGTTCCACAAAATGGTCGCTGTGAGGGTGTGTGAATAGTAAAGCTAAAAACAATAAGTCATACGAAACTGATTTGCATATGTTGCGATTAAAATATACAGTCGTAAAAGTATACCGTCTGTTTTTACAAAAAAAATGAAGTAAGTGAAAGTTGTGTGATACGCGTACCGCACTAGATTTTTATCTTATTTTATTTTTTCAGTCTTAGAGAAATACTTAAGCGAAGGTCGAAAGGTCCGCACAAATTAAGATAATTTTTTTTATTTCTTTTTTTATTTTCGGTTCGGCAAAAAAGACATACTTACAAAAACTATTTCAATCCAATATTTTACGACTTATAACAGGAGATCACTGGTACGTCAACAACAAAACGACTTATGACAACCAACTATAGTCTAACACATAAGTACTCTCTACTCTCGTTTTCTTTTCAAACTGTACGTACACAACAGACAACATGGCCACGTCTAACAAGCCCATCAGGAGGAGAGTAAAAAGGAGTTGGATGAGAGTTCTGCTCATCTAAATCTAGGAAGTAAATAATGACCAGGAAGGAGTGTTGCTGGGTGCTATCCTTCCTGATAACAATAGTGTCAATCCATATTAATCACCACACATCTGCTTATTGTCGATCACATATTCTTGGCACAATATATTTCTATCATTATCCATACCAATCCCTGGCATTCCTATGCCTATTACGTATGAAATAAATTGAACAGTTATTTTAGATTTTTTTTTTTAATAATCTATTTATTGAATAATAATACAATCAGCCACTGCTGGAGGGCTATAAGTATTAGGGCTGAAAGTTCTCATTCATACAATATATACAAATAATAGAGAAATAAATATAAATATAAAAAATAAATAAATAATACTGATGAAGGAAGTAAATAAAAAGAAAAAAAAAGTAAACAAATAACATAAAATAGAAACTTCTAAACACAACCATACCTAAATTTAAAAATATAAAAAAAAATAAATAAATAAAAAAAAATAAACAAAATAAAAACAAAAAATAAAAAATGGACTACTGCGTATACTTTCTCTACTGTCATCTTTATTTAGAAGGATTACGAATATATATTAATTCCTGTAGAGGTTTTAGGGTATGGGAAATAAATTCAGGTTTCTATCTGCAATATATATTAAATGCAATTATCAACACCTGAGTAGGTAGTAATTTCTCCTGGAGAATGTTATCAGTAGTATATTCGGTATAATTTACCTGAGAAATGTAAAATATTAAACTTGGGTAGTGTGAATATTGCCGTAACAATTTTGGCTCCGCGGATAATGTTGCGTTATGGTTTTCGGACATTCTCCATATTTTTGAGTTGTCTGTGATACATAAATATGCCTTTTACCGTTGAGATTCATTCTGCTGACCTTTCCTATAATTGGCTTTCTAAATTCGTTCATTTATAATTTAAATAGAAAATTAATTGACTGCCAGATTATTTATCAGAATAAATTTTCAGTTATATACCTATTGCGCATGTACAGTCTTATACTATGCGAATGGAACGTACTATGACTGGATTCATGATCACTGTGTTACAACATTGCATATCCACGTTTTATAGACGGTTTATTGCTAATTTATGCAGCTAAGCTCTTTATACCTTATGAATGAATATAAACAGTTTATACCTAATGAATGGGTATAAGTACTTTAATATAAACAGTTTATACCTAATGAATGAATAATAAGTACTTTAATACCCGATCCCGTGTCGACGACACAGCGAATTGATGTGATACGCCCCGCTGTGTGTACTGTGACACAAATACCGGCACCGACTTTCTTACCTCGTTGTTGGTTATTCTAATATATAATCGAGTTATTGTAATGTATAATCGCATTATTCTTAGCAATAATCGATTTATGTATTACTAACTTAGGAATAAATAGGTTACATTTTACCTTCTCGTTGGTATTTCGAAATAACAAGCGTTATTTATTATTGCAAATATCAATATAGGTATTTTAACACTGGCTCGCCACTGTAACAAGAAATTGAAATAGGTAAGGACCAAAGCAGACTTTTCCTAACTTATCCCTCCGCTTCAAATTAACAATATACAAGAGCATTTTAAGACAGGCACTTCTTTATGGATCACCACTCCTAACTAACATATCACCGGCAATATCGAAAAAGCTCCAACAGTTTCAGAACGGTGTGCTAAGAAAAATAGTGTTCTTCTTTGATTCTTTAAATTCTCTGATAGCCTTAAATACTTGACAAACCCACTTTTTAAAAGACTTCTTCCACTTTCTCACAAACCTATGAGATGGCAGACATATATTAAAAACCTATTACTAGACTAAAAAAATTGACATTTACAGGACACTAATGAGCCCCGTCACGACGAATCATAACTATGAATAACCACAGTACTCCCAATTCTCTATCCTATTCTTAAAATGCATTCTGTGCAGTACAAGAGTTCATGTTCAAGCCTCGAACTACCACTCTGTTCTCAACACCACATCATATGGGGTTAAGAAAGAAAAAAAAAAAATCTCGGTATTCACTTCGACAGACATAATAATAATTTACTAGACATTTTGCCAAAAAAATTAAAACAGTAAGATCTAAGACGTACAGACTCCAAAATTTAATTAGTACAACAAACCTATATTTACGCCTAAAGCTCCTGATCTATACAAGTATAATACAGCCGGTATAATACTCTGTTGTATGGTGCACCTCTGTTTGATCATGTCAGCAAAGCAACTGGGAAAAACGTTATAATATTTCCAAAATGGAATAATCAGAAAAATAGTAAGAAGAACCACGATGCAGAGAATTAAAACATTGGATATACAAGCAGAGCTAAATTTATCACAAAACGAAAAAAATCATTTTTCGAAGTCTCAACAATTGGCAAACCCTCTTTTCAACAACTTATTACCAGCTAAAATTCCAAAACGTTGGCAACAGATCACATGAGATAGATGTTTTATTAATTTAGTTGTAAGCTCTAGAGGATAAGGTCAACTCAAGCACGAGGTCAGTCCCATCACCGATTATATTTCAGATTTAGAAAAAATACTCAGAAACGACAAAAAAAAAAAAAAAAATACACCTTACAATGCTTATTAGCAGTAAAATAACTATTAATAAGACAAAAAAATCCTAGGATTCAAGACAAAGATAAATAAACAACAGGCTATAAGCAAATAAAATAAAATTTCATTTTTAACAAAATATTTTTAATAAGTTCTATGTATAGCCCGTGTTACTGACCTCTTTTTATCAAATTATCAACATCCGGCTGAAACTTCATAAATAGTTTCATCTTCTCGTAACCTACAAATATTTTATTTACGAAAATTCAACGAATCCTTGTTTTTTCAATCTGGATATCCGAAAATTTTGTCTATTTGATTAGGTACTAAAAACTCGTAAATACCCATTTACTTTCCACTTCATTCGTAAGATAATTTGATCACAAAATGGAGGAAAAAAGTGGCCTACAAAAATATTTGCCTGTTTCTCCAACATGACCTAGTTATTTTGACAAAAATTAGAAGCCGTTTGGTGTGACCTACACCCGGCTTGTAATTTTTAAAGACCACCTTTTTTCTCCATTTTGGGTTTAAATGGAAAGCAAATAGGAATTTACGATTATATAATGATGATATATAAATATTCGACTTGAAAATAGGCAAAATTGCCCGAAACGTCGCCAAGAAATTTAAATGAATTGAGGCATTGAATACATGTATAAGCGCAAATTAAAGCGTTTTCCTCGATATTATAAATATTATTATTAAATAATTTAAAGATAAATAAATTTAAAAAAACAAAGCACTGACATACCTATATATACTATTTACAATCAAGTGAGGGTTGTCAGGCTTGTCCCTATAAATATATAGGAAAAAGCAGGACTTCAGGAGATCTCTGCTCTACTCTCTCAGTTAAACCTGCAG